CGGATTACAATGAACCGACGATTTCACATTCTGCTACATAGATCATATTGCGTGAATCATTTCTGTCATATTGTTGTATTGTCAGTGAAAAGAATCAGTCCAAACGGGCAAGATTAATAGAATCCATCCCTAATGTGAGGTATAGATAAGGTTATTCAATGCCAAGGGATAACATATTGAGCAGGAGACCTGAGGCTTTGCCAAGGGTCTTTTGCTCAATATTTTATCCCGAGGGTTTGAATAACCTTATGGATTCTATTTCTTGCCTGCACATTTCTAATTTGCATATGAAACCCAGAGAGAGAGAGAGAGAGAGAGAGAGAGAGAGAGAGAGAGAGAGAGAGAGAGGATTTGGGAGATATTATTTCATGTGCATTACTTATGCAATGCAACAAGCTAATAAGGCTATGTCAGGGTCCTGCGATAATAGCAATTGTTCAAAAAGTGTTCATAATTAGACAACTATAATTCTAATAAAGGTTTCAATTTCCTCCAGTAAAGTTCAAATTTCCCTCTGAATGTGGACATTTTTACTGTTATCTATATGTTTTTGAATAAGGAAGTTATCTTTGATGACATTAATAAGTGCATTCAGATTCAAAGAGTTGCTCAGGCATTTAGTCTTTTAAATTTGTTGTCCACATAGCTCGAGTGTTGTGATATCATTCCAAAAAGGAAGGATTCCTTATTACATGCAAAACTTTACATTCTCATAAACAATGCACTATAGTTTCACGCTCTATATTAAACAAGGTACATAAAAGATTTTGACTTAATTTTGACTTTGGTCTCAGGCACACTGGACCAGTAACGGACCGTGGTAGAGGTGGACGACAACATAAAGTCCAGATTGGACCCGGTTGAACATTTGTGGGACGAACTGGACAGACGAGTTAGGAAACGCACCATCGCCCAAAGCAACGTCGCACAGATGGCACTTTTGGAGGAATTATATAACATCTCTATTGAAAGAATAAATAGGCTGATGGGTTGTATGATGAAGAGGGTATGGCATTGGTTTTTGCCCGTGAGGGACATACAACGTGTTAAATAGTCACTGGACCAGGGGACGGACAACTCTAGTGCGAGGTCATTCCTGACACCGTCGCTTGTGTTACAATATTTCTTTTTGTCATAAATTGGTCAGAAGTCATCCAGTTAACAGATAAACCTATTTTAAATCAAATGTCTTTAACACTTTGCAGGAAATTTGTGTTATGTCAGGATAATTGTCATTTATGAATGTCCTTTAAACATTGAAGATAGGTACCGTTGGAGGTGGCATTTTTATATCTTTCCAAACAAATCTTTTTTAATGCTGGTCAGAGTAACATTTAGTATTTGTGTTTTATTTGCTGTTTTAATATATGAATATGTATATGTCATCCTTGACTAAATCTATTTTTAGATAGCCGGACAGTTGACAGGCTGCTGTGACGGTACGATAGACAAGAGTATGACAGAGCATGGTGTCTTTCATATCGACCAAGAACATTACGAAGGAGCATTCTACCATATATATGGTTAATATTCGCCATTTATCAAAATAAAACACACGAAAGTGTGAGGTCCGTCGATATTACACCATAAACGTTTGTCGCCATGATCAGTAATTCCAGCTATATTCTGTGTACCGCTGTCTCCGCTTAACCAGGTCACGAGGTCAAACGATCGTTTACAAATATGAAAAAATGTGTAAAGATCCTTTTGTCACTAAAAAAAACATGTGTTCATGGTTTTTATATTCATAAAAGTAGACTGATTCGATTTGGTATATAGAGTAATACGTAAGATTACTCAGTTATAAATGTCATTTAAATCAAGTTGAAACCACAGTACTAAATGGCCACAGGACATGCTATCGGGCATAGAAGCGAGGTCAAAGTTTCAGGAAGGTATCAAATTGACAATCACCGTACGCAAAGCAAATTAGTATCGGCGACTCTCAGAAATATAAAACGTCCATTCATTGACGTTGATGAGATTGTCGCGACATGTACGACCGTCTTTCTGTTGGGTAGTGTTACACAATATAGGTTATATGCTATCACAGTGCGCTGTGACATTTAGCGGCAGTACCCATTCTAAGGTTCTCGAAGTTATGTAACTGTCGTGCTTCAATCTCTGAAAATTTATAAATAAATCAATCATACAGACCTTCGAAATTACAATGTCGTCATCGCCGCCATAACCATTCATAAAACCCAACCACAAAGAAAGCATGTCGGAGCGATGACATGGATTTGAGGTGTAAATACAATTCTGGACGTCACAATTGATGGCGCGAAAACCTGCCTGGCGTAGCCGGGCAATAACTCATCAAAAAATCTATACCATGGTACCTTGGGCTGTTATAATTTGATGTTCAGTAGTGTGTACGTATGAAATGATATTAAAACAAGCAAATTATTGCCTTCACTTGCGACAAAATAAGCGAGGTGCGTACAGGAGGGCGATTGTATGGGACACACGGGACGAATGATCAGTTTATGAAAAGGGGAATATGTTTATCACCAGAGCCACGCAACGAGGTAACATAATGACATTTGAGTCATGTATGCATGATGTTAAGTTGCACCGCTATTTTGTTTCTACAAATGAGTCAGTTTTATGCCATATTAATTCGGACTTCAGTCAAGTACATGTATCGCATGGTAAGATCTAAATATTCGTAATCGGTACATATGTAGTACTGACCGCGCTGACGTCACCAATAAACGGACACATCACTGTGTTTACACACCACATGTAGTAGAGGCGGGTGTCACAGCTCGACATCTGGGTCACTCGTCATAAAAGTGCCAATACAAGGCCTTCGATACAGGCCTTCCCCAATACCCATGGGCTCGCAATGATAAAACACATCATGAATATTTTAACAGGTGTTTTCGATTTCTTGATGGATGCAGACATCACATCAGCATATAAAGCCATTTACGCTGACAAATTACACCATATAAGACAACTCTAGTGCAATGCTGAGACTCATTCGGGTCGAGACAACGTTTTTCTCGTATATGGCTTATTACTAATTAGGCAAAGCATGTGGTGGAGTGTGTGTTTGATGGCTACAGTCCGTCCGTCCATTGAGCAATTATCGTCGTTTTGCCGACCATCACTGGCGGGACAGACCTTGTCAATTGTAGGTCAGAATCGCTTTATTTGCTTGTTCACAGATGTTTAGTTCATCATTGGGTGCTTGTTATCTGGACACCGATATCGCTAGTTGATATATAGTGTTTCCATAGTAATAAATGTAAACGGTACAATGGCATTGATCTGGTGCACCACGATTTATTTTGTAATGAAGATAAAAATATGAAGAGGAATGATGGTAAATATAAATGGCAGATGACGGTGATATCAGTTCACAGTGTTTAGTTTTGTACATATTCCAGCATTGTTTTAACAAGGTGCTGCACACATATTTGTTAAACCGCTTCACATTACGCCAAGCATTTCAATGCATTTGTGCAAGTACGTTCAGTACATTGTCAGAGTCATTGTCCACAGCGACAAAGTATGCTGCTGCCAAAAATGAAATAACTGTTTGTTGTTGTTGTTATTGTTGTATATGTGTAACCACGCGGTAACACACGGTACGTATTTATTGTCAATACAGGCAGTTTGATGTAGTTTGTTTTCGTCCCTAAGCTGATTTGTGTCGACAAGTAATATAAGGTTGGGGACTTCACGTGATTGGTTGTAGTATTAACAAGGTATGTTAGAGTCATCACATTTTTGTTGAAGCCGTAACTAAGTAAGCCGGTTTCGTCATTGGGCAGGTTCTTTGTTTTGTGTTATCACAACAGCTCTAGTGTTTGGAGCAAAAATTTCAACCAGGCTCATTCTAACGAGCCATGTCACCGAGAGCAAAATTTAAAAAGGTAGCAAGAAAGAGTCTCACCATGGTCAAGCAAAAGGGTACTTAGACACCGCCGAAAGGAAATAGTAGGTGAATAACAAAGAAAAAGAAGTATTTAAGTCCCCGAGACGATTGCACAGGAAAATATCCCTGATTCTACAAGGAGTCCCGTAATGGACTTTGGTATCTTGCAATCATGCAATGCGATAATATAGGTCAGTTTTCGAAACTATCCAGACCATGTCACTGTATAAGTCAGTGTTTTTTTGTTGGGTCGGTATTGTCACAGTTCAGCTTGTTCTCATTTGAAAACTAAGTGTTTTCATTACGTAGTAGGTCGCCACTCTGTATGTTGGTTCCGTACTTTGTTAGAGTAAGAAAGATGATATCGTCAATAGTAGTTTGGTGTTGTATTTAATAAGGGTATTGTCATCACTAGGTTGTTTGGTGTTGTAACTAGGCAGGGTGGCGTAGTCGCTAGGGAGTTTGGTGTTGTAACTAGGCAGATTTTGTCGTCACTAGATAGTTTGGTGTCGTCACTCGGTTGTTTAGTAATTTAACTAGGCAGGATGGTGTCGTTGCTAGGTAGTTTGGTGTTGTAACTAGGCAGATTTTGTCCTCACTAGGTAGTTTGGTGTCGTCACTCGGTTGTTCAGTAACGTAACTAGGCAGGGCGGTGTCGTTTAGGTAGTCTGGGCTCATCACGAGGCATGATGGTGTCGTCCCTAGGTAGTTTGGTGTCGTCACTAGGAAGGATATTGTCGTCACTAGGTAGCTTGACGTCATCACTAAGAATTGTGATGACTTTAACATGTAGTTTTATGTCATCACTAGGCAGCGTGGTGTCGTCACATGGATGTTTCGTAATGGATCTAGGTGGGACACCGTCACGTAGTAGTTTGGTGTCATCCCTTGGCATGGCGGTGTCATAGTTAGGTCGTTTGTTTTCGTTACTAGGCAATGTGGTATCGTCACTAAGTAGTTTGGTATCGTCACTAGGTAGTTAGGAATGTCATCACTTGGAATGGTGGTGTCAACAATAGGCAATGTGGTGTCGTCTACAGGAAGGATGGGGTCGTCACTAGGTAGTTTGATTTCGTCACTAGGTAGTTTGATGTCTCTAGGTACATTGTTGTTAGGTGTCGTCACCAGGCTTGATGATGCCGTTTCTAGGTAGGGTGGGGTCATCACTAGGAACATTGAAGCTTGGTGTCATCACTAGGCAGCGTGGTGTCGTCACATGGTATGATGGTGTCGTCTCTAGGTAGGGTGGGTCGTCACTAAGTACATTGAAGTTTTGTGTCGTCACTAGGCATGCTGCATTGTCTCTAGGTAGTTTGGTGTCGTTACTAGGCATGATGATCTTATCTCTAGGTAGTTTGGTGTCGTTACTAGGCATGATGATGTTGTTTCTAAGTAGTTTGGTGTTGTCGCTAGGCATGATGATGTTGTTTCTAAGTAGTTTGGTGTCTTCTCTAGTCAGGATGATGTCGTCACTAGGTAGTTTGGTGTCCTTACTAGGCATGATGATGTTGTCTATAGGTAGTTTGGTGTCGTTACTAGGCAGGGTGATGTTGTCTCTAGGTAGTTTGGTGTCTTCTCTAGTCACGATGATGACGTCACTAGATGGTTTGGTGTCCTTACTAGGCATGATGATGTCGTCACTAGGTAATTGGTGTCGTCGCTAGGCATGATGATGTTGTCTCTAGATGGTTTGGTGTCGTCACTTGTCATGATGATGCCGTCTCTTGGTGTTTTGGTGTCGTCAATCGGTTTGATGATGTCGTCACTAGGTAGTTTGGTGTAGTCACTAGGAATGATGATATCGTCACTAGGTCGTTTTGTGTCGTTAATAGGCATGATGGTGTTGTCTCTTGGTAGATTGATGTCGACATCAGGCATGATATGTTGTCTCTAGGTAGTTTTTTGTCTCTAGGTAATTCGTTGCACCTATGTTTCCTGATATCGTTTTCGGGAACCTACATGTTAACAGCCCTCTTAATTCCTGCTTCATGTTTACTAAAACAAACACATCGAGAAACCCGATGTTAGAAATACATTTGTGGTACACTTTTATTACAATTTATGACACGGCAAAGAAACCAATCAATGTCAAGAAATTAATATTCCATTCTTTATTGTATAATCAATATACTAACCTAGATATAAGACGGAGAACAATGTCAAATTCAAGCCATAAAAAGTTAATGCAACAGATTATCTTCCCGGAATATATATTGGAGGTATAATTTCGATCTCTTTTCCAGAGTCATGACCCGTTAGACCATTACATTTTGTAAAACACTTTGATTTTTTTTTTCTTCAAATATTGACCAAAATATCAAACATCAAACACATCAATACGGGGTTTATTGTGTGTTGTTTGAAGACCCCTGCTAGCGGAATGAACATGTCCCTCCGGGGGCGCTGTATTATTGCATCCTTCAAAATGTGTCCGGCATGATTGGTTCGCCAAATAAATGTGTCCTCGGCATGACGTTCGACAAGGGTTGAGAGGATCGACATACGTCACCAACATCTTCATCAACCTGTACGTGAAGCCGGTCCCCAACATCTTTCCCCATGTTAGTCTTCACTATCCCGACCCATCACTTCCTATTTAATTACTTGTGTAAACTCGCTTTTAATGGAGCAACCTATTGCGCTAAGTTACAAAAGATACGGAAATTACCTAACTCTGGTACATTGCATGGCGTCTGCGCGTAATGCGGTTTCAAGTGTCATTATGAAAACTTAACGGTTTTCAAGGTATGGTATGGAGAACAAACATTTTGTGACAATCCAGCAAGACGTTAACAACGTGGTGACATTAGACTTTTGACTGTCACCTCACATCAGCATAATTTATACTGTTCTGAAAATGTTATTCTGTAGAAAAGATTTCACACTTAAAAACGTTTCCCTGGACAAAATTGTCCTGAAATTTTAACATTCATCTTATTTTTTCTAGAATATGATTTTGAAAGACAGAAATATTTCAGGACTGTTACAGTCAGTTGCAAGAGGATCCTTGTTTCAAAACATCAGCAAATCAACGCAATTGGTGTATTCTGATTATATTGAGGTCGAATGGCACACTCAACCCTTTTATTTCTACATCGGACAGTAGACCTTTTACGCCTTATGGTAGAATGGTACAAATTGTCGAATATATATACAAATTGCCTTTTCTACTGTATCTTTCAGTCATACAAGTATCAAGCGGTCAACCAAGATTCTATCAGTACTAGTCAGACAGGTATCTAGCAATCAGACAGGTATCTAGCGTTCAGACAGGTATCTAGCGTTCAGACAGGTATCTAGCAATCAGACAGGTGTCTAGCAATCAGACAGGTATCTAGCAATCAGACAGGTGTCTAGCTGTCAGGCAGGTATCTAGCAATCAGACAGGTGTCTAGCTATCAGACATGTATCTAGCGTTCGACCAGGTATCTAGCTTTCAGACAGAAGTCTACTGGTAATACAGGTGTCTAGCAATCAGACAGGTATCTAGCGTTCAGACAGGTATCTAGCTTTCAGACAGGTATCTTGCAGTCAGACAGATATCTAGCGTTCAGACAGAAGTCTACTGGTAATACAGGTGTCTAGCTGTCAGGCAGGTATCTAGTGTTCAGACAGGTATCTAGCGTTCAGACAGGTATCTAGCAATCAGACAGGTGTCTAGCAATCAGACAGGTATCTAGCAATCAGACAGGTGTCTAGCAATCAGACAGGTATCTAGCGTTCAGACAGGTATCTAGCTTTCAGACAGAAGTCTACTGGTAATACAGGTGTCTAGCAATCAGACAGGTATCTAGCGTTCAGACAGGTATCTAGCTTTCAGACAGGTATCTTGCAGTCAGACTGATATCTAGCGTTCAGACAGAAGTCTACTGGTAATACAGGTGTCTAGCTGTCAGGCAGGTATCTAGCGTTCAGACAGGTATCTAGAGTTCAGACAGGTATCTAGCAATCAGACAGGTGTCTAGCAATCAGACAGGGATCTAGCGTTCAGACAGGAATCTAGAGTTCAGACAGGTATCTAGCAATCAGACAGGGGTCTAGCAATCAGACAGGGATCTTGCAATCAGACAGGTGGCTAGCAATCAGACAGGTATCTAGCGTTCAGACAGGTATCTAGCTTTCAGACATGTATCTTGCAGTCAGACAGATATCTAGCGTTCAGACAGAAGTCTACTGGTAATATAGGTGTCTAGCTGTCAGGCAGGTATCTAGCAATCAGACAGGTGTCTAGCGTTTAGACAGATATCTAGCTGTCAGGCAGGTATCTAGCAATCAGACAGGTGTCTAGCTGTCAGACAGGTATCTAGCGTTCAGGCAGGTATCTAGCGGTTATATACGTATCGAGTTATGACGGTCTAGCCTCCGTAACCGCCACAAGGTGGTGATATTACTGAACTGTCACACACAGGAATGAGTTGCTTTCCCCGAGTCAAATTCATCATCATTTATCCATGGCCATACGGCAGAAAAGCTTCAAAGCGTACATTGAGAATAGAAAGAACAATGCTGTATACTTGGTACGGATCAATAGGGGAAGTCGTGCGTGTGTCAATGTAGGAGAGTGTCGCATCCCCCGTCACTTCAGTCACGTGCTCTGCCTGCCGAGCTGATCCGATGATGTTGTGTGCAACAATGCACGGCTACGGCTGATGACAAATTGACATAGTGGTGGAGTCTAGTATCCAGGATGCCTCAAGTCGGAATCTAGTGTGCTAATTCTAGACTATTGTGGACGAGTCCTTCATCTACTCTGGTATATTAGTCTGGGGCTGCCGTGGCGGAGATCTAGGATCTAAAGGTATTTTCTTCTGACAGCCCGTTGTGCGGCCAGGCAGTATCGGGTGTCTTTGTAACAATATTGCATGTTTTATAAATATAAGGAAGAAACAAGATCACTTCTGTAAGCTTCTCTCTTTTTTAAGTCCATAGGATTTTAGTTAAAACTACATCAATAATTGATTTCTTTCTCAACTTTCACCTTGTATACATCTAGAAGACATTTATTTTCGTTGTAACAAATTCTTCGTCAGTTGTTTTTGGTAAAACTGCTTGTCTGTTTCTCGCAACTTCATACATTGTTTTATTGATACGATACTGCGCAAACTCAATCTTTACTTCTCAAAATTTGCGTTTGAATTTCAACCCTTTCATTAATTATAGAAAAGATATCTTGCTTTCTCTGTAGTATAAAACTGTCGACTGCATAAAAATATATATTCAAGTGGACGCATGGTCTATATTCTTAACGTTTCAATAAAAGAATCTATTTCATCACAAGAAAAATTGTCGTATTTTATTGTCAAGTTAAATAAACGAATGAAATATTTTTATAAGCAAATATTTTTGTTACTGAATTTATAATTTCTTAAAGTTTCATGAAGGTTACATAAAAAAATCGAAAAATTTAATTTGCAATTGTACAAATTCTGTTTGAATTCAAAAGTATAAATTATATAACAATATGCCAATAACAATATTTGGTAGGCATATGCATAAACTAAATCACCACTTAGTGTATTTTTAAACAGGTATATAAATTTATCATGTTCAATGTTATCCTTAGCGCATAGATCCGAATGCAGTTTTATGTAATGCAAGACAGCGAGAAGGTCCGCTTCATCCTGATATTGATACGACATGTATATTGCACGTTATACAACCATGTTTTTACGATCATTCTGATATATAAATGATATAATGTTTAGATTGTTTGTTAAGTTTCGTGAAATACAAATGAGATCAGATTTGAAATTCTTTCGGGAAAACTGTTAAAAAACAAAATCACTAGAATTACACGAGACAGCGGGGTTTTTTCTTTTTAGAAATTAAATTGATCCTTAAAATGCACGATCTGTGGCACCACAAGTATAACTATCTCCAGCTTCACGTTTTCTTTCTCGTTGTCCCTTTTTTCGTTTCCTTTATCATTGGTTCGTAGCATTGTTATGTATTTTTGGAATCATAATTTCAGTTATCACGTGTTGAAGACTTCTTTTTGTTAATTAATATAGCTATTGAAGTATATCTCTTTGTATGTGTACATAGTGGTCGATGATGAACCCAGAGGTGTTGTTCGCTACCTGGCGCTCCGTTACCTGGGTTACCTGCACAGGTGCGAGACTGGACCACGCCCCTGAGCGGCCACACGTGCGGCGGGAGGGCGTGGGGACTTGTCATCACGTTCTCTCGTCCCATAGTGTGGTCATTAGCATCAAATTCCAATCAACGACACCTTTACAAAGCTCATCTCCAGTTGTCATCAGACGTGTCCATCACTGTTTAACTGGCACTGACCATCACAGCGTATACAGTCGCTGACCACTTGGCATTAGTGGTCTTGCTTCATACCACGTTTGTCGGAAATCTGCAGAGCTATTCACGGATTCAGAAGTTACATGTCAAAAATCCGGATTCGCCAAACCACCAAGAGAACCACTTAGTCGACTACGGGTATTCTTAGGTTGATAATACAATTTTTCGTTGTTATTGCTTGAGAATACACGTAATTGACAGAGTAAGACCTTCAGTGGGTGGCCGTCTCAGATGTCGGGGTACATAACACACAACGGTCAGTAGACAACCAGGATTACATAGAAAGGCAGTCGATCCCGAAGCGTAAGTATCGGA